TATTATACCTAGACTTTAATAACATCATCATCTATTATTTTAATTCATTCCCCGTAGGTTTATTACCTTTGTCGTTAGGTTCCTGAGCAGGTAGTATTTTTTTATAACAAAACTACTAGACCAATAAGGCATTGCATAGTGACATAAACACCGAGCGGTCACCGGTGACTACAACCTATTGTTCTATAATTGTGTCTATAATGACGGTACTCAACGAGTTAATTACCTCGACTCCCTGAATGAGGTTGATATAGATGGTTGGCCACAACTGTGCGCTTCTCACGTAGCTTTCTGCTTCGCACAGCAAAACTGTGGAATGATCTGTCGTCGGCGGTATTTCCGAACCGATACTACCATCAAACCTTCAAGAAAAGAGCGTACTCCTTTTTAAAAGGCCGGCAACGCACGTGTGATTTCTCTGGTGTTGCGGGTGTCCATGGGCGGCGCTGATCGCTTACCATCAAGTGATCCGCTGCTCGTTTGCCTCATATTCCATAAACAATTGCTTAATATTTACCATTTTTGGTCAAATACCACAGATTTAAACTGTCATACACCGAGCGGTCACCGGTGACCGCAACCTATTGTTCTTTAATTGTGTCTATAATGACGGTACTCTACGAGTTAATAGTAAGTGACCTTGCACAACCTTTAACTAAAATAGTCAAAAGTATAAATAGAATATGAAAGAATGTTATTCTTGATTTGTAACCTTGTAGACATTGTCGTGGCCGTGTCTTAACAAATTAATTATGATGGTGCATAGTTACATTGTCCATTTGCCGCCGAGTAATAATAAAATTATCGATAAGTTATTGTCTGATCATAGTAGTGCCCATTGTTAGCTGCCGTTTTCCATTACTTACTAGTTATCTCATAAAGATTTCTATTTAATTGCTAAGGTTAAAGATTCGCGTGATTGATAAAATGAGAGAGCTTTTTGCATGCGTCCAAGAGATTGTTGACTTTAGAATTTTAGTGGCAATAGCATCGAAGACGTAAGTAAACAAATAATTTATCTAATATTATAACATCACGCCTTTTTATCCCCGATGGAGTAGGCAGAGGTGCACATTACGCCACTTAATGCCACTGAACAATGTAACACCCACTTTTCATTATTTATGTTACGAGTCCCATGTAAAAGGGAGTGAGCCTATTGCCATATACCGGGCACAATTCCAGACTCCGTGATACTACTGAGATATTTTTTAAACCCAGTAGTGCATTGCCCCCCCCCTCCCACCTGGGAATCTAACCATATGCCCATTGCCCGGCAGTCGCACTTGCGACCACTCGGCCAACGAGGCAGTCAAAGAAACGGACGATAAATTACTACCAACCTTAGGTAATTTTTATATATTGTCAAGATGCAATTACACAGTGAATAAATAACGAATAAGTCAGCATTTAATTTGAACCTTATACAAATGGACATAAGTATCACGTTATTTATTATTAAGATACAATCTACGCACAATAACTAAGATACCTTTACTTTCTTAGTGACCGTCGCGACGTGGAAAGTAAAAAATTAGTTTCCGTGCACGGTTCATTAATTTCACGACCGCTATAAGACTTTTTATTGTGCACAAATAAGTGCACAACGTTGATATTGCACAAGTTATACTTTTTTATGTGTTTAAGATAAGTTTGTTCCAGTTCCTGTTTTTATGTTACGTCACACACAAGTTTGTTCTCTGATGACACTGTTTTACGGGGAACTTGTAACTTTTTATTTCTTACGTGTGTACCTATAGCCTTTATATCAAGTTACTTCAATGTTAATAATTCATTTTCAACCTTATTGTTTTAGTACAGAGTTGCAAATAGATAAAATTTTAGAATTTAGTGCATCTTTACTTGCTGCTACCTCTATCTATGTTGCCAATAAGGAAATGATATGTGAACTAGACGAAGTATCCCGTGTGTTATCTAATTGCGTAATTAGCGACTAAGCCTGTTTTAGTCTTTGGAGAAAACTGTATTTAGACCGTCTAGATTGACTGCAATGGAGTCTGGAAGTACTGATACGGTGTAGTTTGAATAGCCGGATGAAATAATCTTCCGGATTCACTACATTCTTTCTTTATCTAAGTATATGTAGGTTTATAAGTAGCTAAATAGTATCTTATGCTTAGCAGGCGGGTTGAAAATTGCAGCTTAAAACGATCAGCTATTGTACACGGTAACCTCATTTCAAAATTTTGCAATAAATTCGATCACTGTCCGCCATGTCATTGGTTGATAGAATAATAGAACCTTCATATAGGGTTATTTATAAGTAGATAAATAGTATCTACTCATACTCAATTTTTTGTTGCTTTCCACATAATTTAGATGGTAAAAATAATTAGGACATAATGTGTACATGTGGGGCACAACAAAATAAGTTTTAAAGGGAACATACTTTGACATGACATACGTAGTACGTACCTATTGGAAAAGCCTATGTATGTTTTTAGCTTTCAAATCCTTAGACTTATGCTTTGCTAATTAATGGATAGGTGAAAAGCTTTGCTTTCTACTTCACTTTTAACAAGTAATACATATAGACAGATGCTATGTTCAAAACTGGTTTATTAACATACAGACATTAGACTGCACGGTTGGTGCGGTGGCTGGGCAACCGGCTGTCGTGCAACGTGTCGCGGGTTCGATTCCCGCACGGAACAACACTTTGTGTGATCCACAAATTGTTGTTTCGGGTCTGGGTGTCATTGTGTATGTGAACTTGTATGTTTGTAAACGCACCCACGACACAGGAGAAAATCCTAATGTAAAAAAAAAATACAGCGTCAAAGCTGAAAGTTACAGAACGGAATATTGTAATGCATAATAATTCCACAATTTACCCAAACTTAACTCATTATACTGAGACTTTTGTTAAACGTAAAAAGTAAAGAAATCGCCACCCAAAGTATTTCTAGGTCACATCAATGCGACCGGTTAATTTATTTCCGGCCAGATTTCGTACCGAGTGCGTTGACACAGTGAATTGAAAATAAACATGAATTGAAAAAGTTTTGTAATATTCATGGTCTAATAAGTATTGTGTCCGGTGACGACGATTATGTTATTCACGCCTGTCTCAAAATAGATAGAGGTATGCGCCTACTATGACGTAACAAACAATAGACAAGTAGGTACCTAATCGAACAGGTATCTAGGTGCGATAGATGTCTATTCAAAACGAACGATTACCTCATTTCATTCACCCTTTTAATTTCAACGGCATTTTAAATTATTTATTTTAATGAACCGGGAATCGATCCTCATATCCGTTGCTTTGGTTGTACCGTTGTGTCGTTAAACAAGGTAGTTAAAGGTAAAGAGATATTAATAATATAATAAAACGAACCGGTACCAAGACTCTCGATATTACCAAAGTAAATACCAACATACGAAATTGAAGTTTGTATAACCACAAATATTCCTTTGTAGAAAGTTCAGGAGAAGCCAAACTATGAAGGATGTATTATAATTGGTTGATAAATTGAAATGAATCACTTCAAAGGCTATTTAAATTTGATTAGGGATTATAAATTTAATAAAATATCCACAATTCATGGGAAATTATTTCGACAACGTATTTGAAGTACCTAGCTACTATTTAGGCAATTATTGAATTATTGTGGTGACTCGTTTGACATCATTGTAAATATTCTTTAGCGATCTCTACTGTGTTGTACTTAATATTAATATTTGGCAATAGCGTTCTCATAAATAAATTGTTAATTGTAATTGTTCCACAATGTGAATGTCTCAATGTGGTCTCACTGTAGTCTACGCAGACCTTGCGATTTGTCATCGATCATACACTTTTTTCCTATTGTGACACGGTTGCTTGTAATTGAACTTTACGTAACAAGTTCCAATAGAAAAAAAAATTAAGTCACCTCTTCCATTGAGATGAAGTGCAACGATTGCTCTCGTAACCCTTCCAATCCATTTAGCAATGAACGGTCTGATTAGTTTACAAATAGAGAAGTAAATGGAACAGATTCTGTTCATTTTTTACTTCTTTAATTAGTGGTTACTTTGTTACAAGGTAACTTACATCATCATCATCGACAGCCATTAATCGGGAGCCCATTCCTGGACTATGTGTCTCCTCTATAAAGGGGAGTTTACCGTAATATCAATGCTTAGCAGGCGGGTTGAAGATTGCAGCTAAAAACGATCAGCTATTGTACATTGTAACCTCCATTTCGACATTTTAAAGTGAATTCGATCGCTGTCCGCCATGTCATTGGTTGAGAGAATAATCTCGACCAATGGCAGGCGGGAATAGGATCGAGCTCACTTCAAAAAATTGAATTGACAGTTACAGAAAAGCATAACAAATTCCGATTAACCACGTTTTCGCGCTAAGCGTTTTCTCATGAAAACGCTGCTACCCGTTAGGGGTTGTTTCTTAGTCGCCTTTAACGACACTCACAGAGCAATCTTTTCTTAATACAAATTCTAGTATCCCCATACGACGGCCTTATATGTATAACAGATTGAAACAATTTTCGCCAGTCACATGCTAAGTAGGTCAATCAATCGTTCCCCTGGGTGTCGTAAATGATGAATGAATACATACACTAATTAGATACCCTGTGTTATTGCTGAATGGGTGATAGAACTAAATTCTGTATTGATCTGGTTGTTTTGCTAAATTACATAGATAGGCAAATAGGAAACCTAATTAGTACTTACCTATTTAATTAAACTGTCAAACACCAAGCGGTCACCGGTGACCGCAACCTATTGTTCTATAATTGTGTCTACAAAACCGGTACTCGACGAGTTAAAATACATAAAATTGGTCTACTATCTATAAAGACGATTTCAGAAACAGCGTGACAAGTTACCCATATTATTATCCTTTGATATTCATATACCTATCTAAGTAGGAATTAAAGCACTTATTAGTAACCATGTGGTAATCTGAAAAAATAAGGGACCTCTACGTACGGAATCTACGTTCTAACATGAACTTTTTATTGTTTCAGGTTTTGCCATTAGTATTATCAGTATCATCAATCAAAGTCCCAGTAGACAATGCAGACCCCACCGACGCTCCCAGTACTCCAGAAGCGACAAAAAATACTCCAGTGTACTACATATCAGACGACGCTAATGTCGACAGCTACCTAATCCCTCCTGACCCACACAAAGCAGAAGATTCACCCGAAGGGACAGGCGGCCCGCCTACATTCTTGATACCACCCTCAAAAGACAGCCAGCCTGGTTACTTCGTGCCCAAAGCATCGGCAGACATTCAAAGTGATTGGTTACCCATTCTACAAGCCCAAACACAAACCCAAACTAAACGCAATGTTCAATACCAAAGACTACCCCTGGAAACAATCCCTATATTTTTCAACGGTAACCAAGGTGTAGCGGCGCCCCTATCTTTACCTCCCGTACCTTCAACACGACTTGAACCGCCTTCAGTCGACGCTGTAAACGAGTTCTTCATTGATGTTCCCGAGGAGGAAGAAGTGCATGTGGATGAAAATAATGAGCCTATTCAAGCACCAGACTATAATGTACGCCCTCAAAATGAGAATGAACCACCCTCAAATCTGCAACTTGATCCAGCAGAACCAACTCTCGCCTTACATTTAACGCCGCCTAAACCACAATCATTGAACGCTCCAACAAAATTGTTCCCAAAGAAATACACTGGTGGTTTCAAACCCGTCCCGATACCTCTCACTCAGTACGCTGAAACCGCACCAGAAGTACCGAAAGCGAAGCCTGCGAAATACTTTAAACCGCAATCGAATGCCGAGGTACAACAATACACGCCGACTGACGACGAGAAGAAATTGTATCATTTCAAAAAAGCCGAGCATCAAAGAAAACTGAAAGGAGAAGAAGCCTTAAAGGTCTGTTGTGTATGATTTTGACAAACGACGACAATTTACCGAATATAAATTTACTTAAGTTGTAAAACTTGTTTTGTTCCTAGCAACAGCAATCAGCTGATGGGGTGTCAGAGGAAACATATGGCGAGCCTACTTCGGCGGAACAAGAAACTTCGGAAACTAACTTAAGATACCCCGGACGTACGTATAATATAACTTAATAATAACATAACAATCATTGTTTAAAGTGGGTTGAGACTTGAGATGTATAAATCAAAAACTTGTATGACTAAACTTACTGTAATAATCTGAATGGATTGTTCGACCCTTCCAACACATTACTGAATAACATTATTGTTTGATACTTTACGTATATCTATGTATAAGTTACTTTTGTTAGCTTCACAAATAAGTGCTTACTTAGCTCCCAGTAGGTAGCTAAGTAAGTAGTAACTTACCTAATGGTTCGTTATTTTGAATCTGTCAATGAGTGTCTACTGTAATTTGGTAGGCAATTGGCAAATGTTTGTATAACATTATAATTTAAACATGAATTAGTTCATATTGTCTTGGTTCACTAAAGAACCAAACGTAATAAAGTAAGTGATTAAGCAGCAGGCTGTTGTTTTACGTGTCGTGGGTATAATTGGAGCCCGGAATAACTCCTTGTGTACCTAATCCACAAATGTTCTTCCGAATCTTTAAACCGGATTCCAGTGTATGTGAATTTGTATACCAGTATAAGCACCGACGACACAGAAGGGGACTAATGCCAATGATGATATTGTTATAAAATGACACTTTGTTACATTTCAGACAACGTGTACCACGTACCTGACCACGTACATCACGGGGCCCCGGGTCCTCTCCGTCATGGGCCTCGACCTGCTCCCCTGCGTCAGGCCCCTCCACCGAGCCCCCCACAAGACGTGGGTCCTGCTGCACCAGCTCCCGATGGCAGAACAGAGTTCAGGATGCACGGCATGAAGGGACCACATAGCTATCAGTTCGGTTACGATACAGGCAAAGGGTAAGTTTCATGTTATTCTAATAATTTGCTACCTCATTGAGGCTCAAATCAAATCGGACCAGCAGTTTCTGAGATTTGCACGTCCAAACAGAAAAGAAATAAACTCTTCAGCTTTATACAATAGTATATAAGATATAACGTTGAGTAGTTAATTGTAATGCAGTCAATTAAAGAAATCACTAGGGACCTACACATCATAACTACTTTTACTTCGGACTCGGACTCGGCTTCGATTCTTGAGTTGACCATAAATATTCTTGAGTCGCAATAGTCCTACTGTTACACAGCATTTCTATTTAATATAGTTACAATACCTTGGGTACAATAATAAACTTTTAAATAATTTACAATTTCAGCAAAAACCGCCAATTCCGGTACGAGGAGCGAGACAACGATGGATTGGTAAAGGGCCACTATGGTTACGTGGACAGGTCCGGCAAACTCCGAGTGGTCAACTATAGTGCGCATCCCGAGTACGGTTTCCGTGCTGAAGAACCAGTAGAAAAACAGCCATGAATGTAGAACGCATTATAACACGTGGTTGTAGCGCAGGGGTCATAATACCTTGGTCATGTTTCATTCATTAGATTTTCGACTTATTTACAAGTCAGATAAGGCTGAATATCTATTGAAGAAACTACATAGTTATTGCGTTTTCTAATAACCCATTCTAATAGCATCCCGTTCGCTCCTTTAAATGTTCAATTTCAAAGGCCAAGATGTATTGGTCTAACTACAATTTACTTTATCGGGTTCTTTAGCATTGATAGTATTGTCTAATCTTTACGACCTCTGAAGTTCAAATGGTGTAAATATATTTTTGTTGTAAATAACGTAAAAATGTTCAAGCCGAACAATGTATGGGACAAAATACTTTATACGAAAACATGTATTAAGTTATTTTTGTTAATTTTTTAAATATTATAATTTAAGTTTGTTACCATAAGTGTCATATAGTGGATAAGGTATATTAATTTATATGTTTAACGAAATAAAATAAAAAAATAATTAATGTATTTGATTTTTTATTAATAATAACATTTTACTTAGATAAACTTTGAACTTTGTTTACAAAAATATTGTATATCTATAAAGTAAATTTAAAATATAATAATTATAGGCATAGTGATTTAGGTCTATAACACTGATAATAAAATATTTAATGACCTAGGTCACTCATGAATATAAACACGACACTAAATAACAATTAAATCCAAAAATATGGCACCAATAAAACTTTTATAAAAATATTAAACTCTCTTAAAAATGTTGACTCAATTTTAAACAGCACATACTATTGACTTTCCTTTTTCTCAATTACAATATTGTTTACAAGTTCAGCAAGTAAACTAGAAGCACCAATGCGGAAGAGTTTTGGTGTAAGCCATTCTGGACCTAATTCCGTGTACACAAGGACCAGCCAGTTGACTGCGTCTCTAGCTGTCTTTATGCCACCAGCTGGTTTGAGGCCAACCTGTGTAATAAGTACATAATATTTTAGTAGTATTATTTATTTTGTTTTACATACTCTTTGTGTGTTAAATGCGGTAGGAATTAGTGCTACATCTATTCAAAAATTGTTAGTTCTTGTTCAATTAAAACTAAATTAAAAAAGAAATTAACAACTATACGGGTATTTAGCCTACTTGGTAAGGTTTGGTGAATTAGTTTAGATAAATACCAAAAGCATGAAATTTATCCCCACACTAGAATTTTATTTACTGTTTGTGTAAAGCTATGTGTACTTAACAGCTTCTGTAATTGAACTCTCTTTGATGGCAATATTATGCCCAATTTATATGTAGAAGACTTATAACGATAATATGCCATACCTATATCTTCTTATGAAATAAAAAATATCCTAAAAATCCTATAAGAACGAGAGAAAACAGGACTGCCCGCGAATTTGTACGCAAGCGCAAGTTGCGAGTAGAAGCTAGGCAACAATGAATATCCTCTTACCCTGATTCCAGTATTTTGATAGTGTCTTCTTATTGCTCTGCACATCACAAGACCAATAGGCAAGGTCGCATTCACAGCTTCTTTACCCGTGGAGGTCTTTATAAAGTCTGCACCAGCCATCATAGATATCATGGAGGCTCTGTAAACCTAGAAAAAATTAAAAAGAATGGTAACTACTTGAATAAACTAGGCCCAGTCCAAATATTTAAATAGCTTTTTAACCTTACTGCAAAAGTATAAGGTTGAAAATGGAATAAAAATATTATAAAGATAAGAGTAGCTTGGTTGCTGTATCTTTATTTTGGCTTAAAAATTCTTGTAAGAAAAATAATACAATTAAAATGAAACTCACATTCTCATAAGTTCCCAATTCTCCAACTCCTAATATGACTTTTAAGTGGGCTTTACCACATGCTTTCTTCATTTGTTTGACTTCATCATACAATGCATCCCACTGCCCTGTTAGCGCTAAGCTACGGTCTAAGACTATATCAATTTCAGTTGCTCCGCTCGATACAGCATATTTGATTTCTTGTAGTCTTGTCTCTATTGGATAGAGGCCCGATGGAAATCCTGTGGCCACTGCAAATGAAAAAATAATCATCTAGTTAAAATTAAGAGTATTTTTTCTTGGGTTTTTTAATTTTTACAATTCTTGTTAGTGTTGAAAGTATGAAAACAGTCCTTACCGGCTGCAATATTAATTTCTGAAGTGAGTTCCATAAGTTTGATAGCCTCATAAGCATCTTTTACTTTTGTTGGGTAAACACACACTGCTGCAGTTCTGACGGGTTTTTCCAAATTCAACTGTTTTATCAAATCTCTTGTCAACGGATTTGCCGCCTAAAATAAAAGATTATGTACAAGTTTAAAAAAAGAATGCATATTTCAAATAGTCTTCATCAGGAGTCTTTCATTAATAAAAAAAAAACAATACGGCATAGGACTTGATAGGACTATTAAGTTAATTCTTTTTTTAAATAAGTATTGTCAAAAGAGGTAATCTTTTAAATTCTGAGACTAATACAATTTGGTCTTTTCATACAAACCTTAGTACAAAGTCTAAATACATTTGATCTGGTATCATCACCAGAAAGAGTAGTTAAATCAATTACTGTAATGGCTTTCAGTAACCATGCATTTAAGACATCTGGAGTGGTTATAGGGTGAGTATCTAATATTGTCTGTATTTGTGCATCCACATTCGATTTGTTTATGTAAATCTTCCTCAAATTAGCCATTTCTAAAAATAAATAACTTAATTTTTATAAACAATTAAAAAGTATCTATTGCTTAAGCAACAGCATGTAACCTGTAATATCAAAAACAGCTTAGTAGTAGATTTTGTTCTTACACAGTTCACTAATAAACAAAACATTTTTGATAAAATTTCAGGCTTTTTACAGAATGAATTTTAATTCTGATAATTAGGATAAAAGGTCGATTCTTTGATCACAACCCACTGTCTAGCATATTTCTAAAATTATTCTTATTACATCAACTAATTGTTTAACAATTATTAAAATGAGATAACACATTATCTTAGACAAAGTAAAACTTACCTAAAACTTTTGAGTCTACCATTTTAAATAAGCTGTTTCTACTGTAATAGTTTTTCCTAGTATTTAAAGAAATTATGTATTTTGTTTCCTTTTATATAGTTTATTTTAATGTGGTCTGCCACTAATATTTTTTGACAAAACCACAAAATTATTAATTCAACTTGTGAACTTGATAAGAGAAGACCCGATGTTGCTGAATGCTGATTAGAGGAATCGCAATTCGTAATCGGACCAATCAGAGCTTCTAAAAGAATGACACTGACGTGTAATGTCAATTTGACAATGGTAACTTCAAATCATTGAGTACGCTTTATCATATTGAAATTGAGTACTTATAGGTAGCAAATAAACAAACGTGTATAATCTTTAATTTTATAATCGTAAAAAGACTTGGTTATTTTTAACGCAATTCTATTCGGGGTGACACTGCAAGCTATGTAGTGGAATAAATGCAGCTGCTTTTTTATAGGCTTTATAGGTGTATTTTATACTTTTTAATAAAATAATTTTATGGTTTTAATGTAATTTCAAGTAAGAGTTCTTACAAAAGTTCAAGCATTTGTTATTGAAAAACATGTAGAATTTGTTTAGTTTAGGGTGCTAAACACAGATGTCGCTAGCTTACCTCAAACACAACAAATGTCTTTTGTTTTAATTTGAGTATAGCTCAAATATGACTCACGATCACTTCGTCAACGCAAACAGACGTGCGCTTTGATGGAATAATTTTAAAATAAATTGTCAATTTTTATTCAGTGACCTACTTGTCTTCCGCTACGTGTTTTATAACACTAAGCAAACTCAAATGTTTTACTATCTATAAATTATAAAGAAATGTATAAGTAAACGCTTGAACTTTAAAAACTATGGAAAGCAGCCCCTTCAATAGAAGCGGACTAACGCGCCGCTCACCACCGCCGACACCAACCCAAACTCCGAGCCACAGCTAAGACGAGAGGATGGAAGTGATCTCAACATCAGACCTACAGCACTGGATGGGATGCATTGAGACCCAACTAAACGAGATATGTCATATAACTGGCGAAGGCAAGCTAAACTCGGATCAAAAGTTAAAGGTGAGCTCCCTATGTCGCAAAATTGGGCATAATGTTGGCCAACTAGCCTGCAAATATCAATCGCTCAAACAAAAAGCCACTCAGACGCACTATTCCCTCCAAGTCCTTAAAGAACATCAAGCCCAAGAAGAAAGTCTGACTGCAGAAATTAAGCGGACCATACAAGAATCTTGTGGGAAAACCACCATGGAAACCACTACTTTTGCAGACATGGTGAAAAAAGGAGCCAATGATTTTGTGCGCCCAATAAATGTCAATTCCGTAGCGATTTATCCCAAGGATAACTCGAAATCAAGTGATGACACCAAAAGCTTGGTTCAAAAAATCGTGTGCCCCGAGGAAATGAAAATAAAAGTTCGTGGAGTACGAAGGGTTCGGAATGGAGGTGTTATCATCAGCACGAATTCAAAGGACGACGTCGAAAAACTGATGAAAACTGTGCAGTCATCAAACTCAGACCTAACAATCAACGAACCGCAAAAAAGAAAACCCCGCATAATCATTATAGGAGTACCGACATCTATACCAGAATCCGAAGTCTACAACTGCATATTTGAGCAGAACGTGGCCGACAAAATTCCATCCATGACCAGGGAGTCATTTATGTCTTCAATAAAAACAAGCCATAAATCCGGCAGAAAAGATACTGATCATCATAACCTGATTATCGAAGTCTCAGCTGCTATACGGAAAGCACTCATCACCCAAGACCGAGTTTTCATAAACTGGACCTCCTGCCCGGTAAGAGACTTCACATTGGTGACTAGATGTTTCAATTGTCATCAATACGGCCACGCAGCTAAATTCTGCAGAAATCCAGTTGTAACCTGTGGACATTGCGCTACTGAGGGCCATTCAATCAAGGATTGCCCGAAAAAATTAGACCCACCGAAATGTGCCTCGTGCCTGCGATTCAACAAACCATCTAATCACAAGACAGGAGAACAAGATTGCCCAGCAAAGAAGGCGGCCGAATTCAGGTATATAAATTCGATCGATTTTGAAGGCGCCTAAGAGCGCCATTGCAACATTATTATTAGCACTAAATTAAAATTTTAAAATCGATACTACATGAATCAAAATCTAATTAATGAAGTAGAACATAGTTTTCCAACAATCACAAAAGCATGCGATGTGGAGGACTGCGAACAGTATCTTTCGGATTTTAAAAACTCTTTTAAAATAGTCACTCAAAACATTCGCAGCATCTACAAAAATATTGATAGTTTTCACACTTTTTTGCACAGAGCTAACCTAAATTTTGACGCTATGGTTTTAACAGAGTGTTGGTTGTCAAATAGAAACGAAAATATACCTCAAATACCGGGATATCAGACTTTCTGTAGTAAATCAACATATAATCAAAACGATGGCGTCGTAGTATATATCAAAGAAACACTCGAAGCCACAGTTGAAGAAACAACCGTACACGACTGCAACTGTGTCACGGTAAAAATAGGAAAGAATGTTGCACTATTAGCTATGTATAGATCCCCTTCCTTTAGAAACACTGATAGGTTTCTGCTTTCCCTAAATCAGACCCTTACAGCCCTAACACCCTTCCCGAACATAATATTAACTGGTGACATAAATCTAAACATTGGTTCTGACATTCTTGACACAGGGACCAACAACTATTTAGATCTCTGCTCCTTTCATGGGCTCCAGCCTGCACATACCCTGCCCACACATCAAAGTGGTTCTTGTCTGGATCATGTGATGATTAAGTCTAAATTAGCATATATAACCTTTGTCACTAACTCAACAATTACCGATCACCATGCTGTAATACTAACAATAAATTTAACGTCCCATAAGCAAAAAAGAATTCTGACAAAGTCCAAATTGAATATGAACCGTCTTGAAAATGATTTACGCAACACAGATTTTAACCCAGTTTATAGTACCGCTGATGCAACTCTGTCTTTATCCTACTTAATAAATATTATACAGCAAGCTATTTTACGAAATACCACCACATCGAGAAATAGCAAAAATAATCACAATTTAAAACCGTGGATTACACCCGGCCTCCTTCGCTGTATAAGACATAGAGACAAACTTCATAAAAAAACTAGACAATTTCCAGATAACGCCATACTCCAACTAACATATAAAAGATACAGAAACTTCTGCAATAATCTCTTAAAAAAGATTAAAACCGAATACGATAGAAGCGAGTTGCAAAAAGCCGGAAACAATACCAAATCACTGTGGAATCACATAAAGTCTGTAACTTACTTAGCCAAACAGCGTGAATCAAATTCAGGCCTTTTGTGCAGTGATAACACACCACTGATATCAGCTAACAATGTAAACAACTACTTTGTTAACGTAGGTAAAAATCTTGCAGACCAGATAGTGAGTAATTCGCCAAGCACACAGTCGCCTGTGCATTTTACAATTACAAACCAGAAAAAATCCTTTGTGTTGCTTGATACAGATGAAAATGAAGTAGCTAGAATAATCTCTGGACTAAAAGATGACTGTGCGGTCGGCTGTGATAATATAAGTAACAGAATAATAAAACGTTGTAAGAGTATACTAGTGCCCCTTCTAACCTACATATTCCGCTTATGTCTATCCAAAGGAACCTTTCCTACATCCCTAAAAAAAGCTTTAGTAATACCTATCTTTAAATCAGGAAACAAAAAGCTTGTAAGCAACTACAGACCAATATCCATTCTGCCCTCGTTATCCAAAATATTAGAAAAAATTATAAACACCCGTTTAGTAAATTATCTGGAGAAAAATGGCCTGATTTCACCCAGGCAATTCGGCTTCAGATCAAAACTGTCTACAGCGGACGCTGTTCATAGCCTAACTAATTTCGTATCTGAAGAACTTGGTAAAGGCAATCACTGCTTAGCAATTTTTATAGACCTAGCCAAAGCATTTGATACTGTTTCTATTCCTCTTCTTTTACATAAATTGGAAGCAATAGGCATAAGGGGTACACAACTAACACTACTAACAAACTATCTAAATGATCGCTCTCAATGTGTTCGAATTGATACGACCACAAGTGAAGACCGAGGGAACCATGGTTTTGGATTACCACAAGGTAGTATTCTCGCCCCGACCCTCTTCCTTATTTATATTAATGATCTCTGTAATTTAAACATACAAAACGGAAAAATAATATCATATGCAGACGACACAGCGCTTATTTTTACCGCAAAAACAATCACAGAACTCTATGAGAACGCTCAGAGGGAATTTAATTCTGTAAATAACTGGCTAAACTACAATTTACTAACACTAAATGTTGACAAAACAAAGTACTTGCTCTTTTCCATGCGTAAAAATCAAACTAACACTACTAACGATGAACTTACAGTGCATAAATGTAATGCCCTCTCGACATACCCCTGTGAATGTCCTAAAATCCTCAAAACTCGTCACATAAAATATCTAGGCATCATTATTGATGACACACTTTCTTTCCGGCCACACATTGAGAGTTTGGTATCCAGAGTACGCAAACTTATGTTTGTATTTAAAATATTGCGAAAAATTGCCGATACTAAATTAATAACTCAAGTGTACATGGCACTATGTCAGTCCATTATCACTTATTGTATTACCTCATGGGGTGGTGTACCTAAAACCTCTATGCTGTCTTTGGAACGAGCACAGAGAGCAATATTAAAAGTAGCACACTCCTATCCTTTCCTTTTCCCCACAGAACAACTATACAAATCCTGTAAGGTACTAACTGTAAGGCAACTATACATAACGCAAGTAATATTGAAGCAACACACGCAGATCCCTTATGATACCAACACTGTAAAGAAGAGACGAAATGATATAGTTTGCAGTTCGCACTCGACCTCAAAATTTATGTACAGTAATAAATTCTATAGTTTTCTAGGACCCTACTTATATAATAGGCTAAATAAGCAACTTTGTATTTACAACTTGAATTGCTATCAATGCAAAAAACGTGTCAGCACATATTTGCAACAACTGACTTATGACCAGACCGAATTTTTGCTGACTGTATGTAAATAAAATTAGAAACAAGTTAATTTATTAAGTGATTAGGTATACATTTCTATATATAGGTAAAATTTGAGTAATCAAATAATTTAATATAAGAATGATTATATAATTATTGTTAATTAGACCTTAAGTT